TTCATGACAATTCACTGTATCACAAGTCACATTTTTTTCTTATTTCTTCCTCCTACTTTTATGTATTCGATATTCAACCGAGTAATGAGTCAAAATTTATTATTCGTTCGAATAGCAAAAAGCCGAATACCGAACCGAATATTCGTAGCAACTCTACTTTTTGGTCTTTATTAATCTTTCTATTCAAACTTTCTGTTTCACTTGTTGTTGGCGCCTTTTTATGATGTATTATTGTTGTCATTCTATCATGGTTTTTTCTGCAGTTGTCTTTATACATTTGTACATTATGTTACTTGTATATAACTCTGTAAGTACAATCCTTCGATTGCTTTTTCATGTGTATATATTACTACAACAGCATGTATGTAGATAGCTCTTTGTATTCTTATTTATGCTACTTTGCCAGTAATGGGCAGATTGGTATAGCAAAAATGATTTAAAACTTCAAATGCAACGTACGCAGTTTAAACGTACATAGTTTTGTTTCTGTGATTTCTCTCATTAATTAATTTCTGCATAATTATCTATTTGTAAACTTTCGCTTACTTTTGCAACTGTATATGCTATTTGATTTTAAATACTTGTACTTTTAATTTACCACCGTTTATCTTTTACATAAATACATTGAAAAGTGAAAGCCATTAAATATCGTGACCAAATACTAACAGAACTTCAAGATACCCAGATTTTTAAAATTTGAAATAAATCTTTCGCCTTATCAGGGCGCGGTTATTTGCACAGGCTGGTTTCCGTACATTTAATGTTTGGTGATTTCAATCTGTTTTGTCGGAGTCAACATGTAGTGCCGCGGAGATTTTGTATACATGTTTGGTGAGGTAGTATTTTGATTATCTTTGATTATCTGTCTGGATTTTCTTAAGTGTTTTCTTGAGATATTTATTATTTTTCTAATGGGGATGACATATTCAATAGCGATCAAAGCCCCTAAATAAATAAAGAGTAAAAAAACTAAATGCATGTGCCTGTTTACTAGACTGCCCCGGTAGGCGGATAATGATTATGATATTAAATTATCTACAAGTGAAACAAATGCGAAATATCGTTTACAAATTTTGAACCTACTTACAAGCTCAGAAAGTGTATAGTATAACTTCGATTTTGGGGCATCATACACTTGTAATGAGTTAAACAAGCGTTAAAATAACAACACAATTCAAACGCTTATACATATAGTTATATTATGCATTAGCTATAACCAAAGCCGGCCTGTAGCGCACAATCAGGTATGGCCTATCAACTTCCAATTGCGACTACAAATGAAACTCGACTGACATCTTCGCTTTACCTTTGAAAAACAATAACGTGTGTTTACCCACACGGCTATTGAAAAACACGTAAAAAAATATTTTTTGTATGCAAATTATGATTAAAAGTTAGAACCTGTAACAGCGATGAAAATTTTCATCATTATCGAAACGAGATTTGTCTCGGCTGCCGCTATAAATTAGTTTTCTTGAAATTTTTTAGCACAGTCACAGTTGTCTCTATAAATTTTTTTAAGCACTACAGGTAACAGTTTCCAAAATGAGAACTGAATTGAAGCAGCCATTTTGCTTATTTAATTTTAATACTTTTTGCCTGTCGGTACAAATTGTCCAGGTTGTACTTCATCAAATCACATAAATATACGCTGTAAATGTCATACTTGTTGCAAATCCTTGATCAAATGTTCAACAAATAGGTCATCTTGGATGTCCCCTTCGGAGCCGTAGCGAAGCAAGCAATTAAAAAGGGCTTATCCTGAACCGCACAAAACTTTTTGGCAAACACAACTAAAGTTTCAGATCTTTTCCTTTGCATGTATTTTTTCACACTTTCTGAACCCCAAGGTATCAAAATTTTACATAGAATTTTCATTCAATTTTTTTTCAAAAGATCTTACGTTTTCATTTTGAATTATGAATTAAACTTACAACGCTAAAATTGATGAATCTTTACACATATAAAACTCATGCAAAAAATATTGGTTTCTCAATTTTTTATACTGCTTCGAATTCATCAAACTATAAGATATTAATTTAATATGGCTATGGGTATATAAATTGCATGTAAAATGATAGTATAAATTTCTAGGCTAACTCCCACTTAGCGTGTTCATGTTCCCGTGCAATATTCGCAGAAGGCGATTTAGGGCACGTATGACTATAACCGTTATAAAGATAGAGGCCCTCGGGCTGTAAAAGGTTCGCTACATTCCTAGTAAGTACTTATGAATTAAGTTCCATATATTAGATTTACGAGAACGGAAAAACTGTATTCAATCTGAGCAAACATCTTGGTTGACATTTAATAAACTAACTACGCATACTGGGCAGTTGCCATAATAATCGTAAGCAAATCGAAAGAAACAATCGACATTTTTAGCGAGTTATTAACACATTTTGTTTTATTATTTTATTTATTTACTAGTATTTATGTGGCCTGTGATATTTATTTTTATTTTATTATTTATAATAATACTTTAGACATTACGTATGTGTGTATGGTACGCTTAAAATGTATGCAACATGTAATGAGATAGATTCTTGTTTCCTTTTCTTCATGTCTTCCGAGGGAAGAACCATTAACCCTATAATACATGTTTTTACTTAGTTTAGGAGTTTACTGGTCTGTGTTTGAATGATGTTTTTTTCTAAATTTATAGTGTATTTGTAATATTTAGTTTAACTGTTGTACCCTTTTTTAATGAAATAAATAATTATTATTATTTTCTGGAATCAACGAAACAAGATCTACAACCCTTTAATTGATACATATATAGTTTTAGAGTTAGTATTTGCGTGGATGCTCTTTGGTTGCCACCAAATAAATCGCAAATGATTGCAGCTCAGTCAGCTACGCCTGGCTTACTAAGCTGCGATCGCTCTCCATATGGTACTGGCAGAAAACCAGCACAGTTTGACTTCTCTCGGTCTACAGTATTTATGCTGAGTCAGGGCCATTTCAGCACAAACTGTAGTCATAGGTACATCAAATTTTATTAGTTCTCACAGTATTTCTTTTTCTCGCAATGTGTGTTTTATATAAATGTGTATTAAATTAATAATGTACGTTCTTCGTGCTTTTATGTTATATGTTGTGAAATGATTGTAAATGTTTTGTTTCTGTTTGTGTTTGTGATGAATAAAATCTATCTACTTACCTAACCCAATAAGCAAATTTTTTATAAACTATTTAGTTTCTTTTTTTATATATCTTTTTGCATAACAATAAAAATCAGCGTAATTGATATTACAAAAATCTTGTATTTGGGTTTGCGGGAAAAAAATGTGTTAGAAATAAGCAGTACCTTTTGTTTGTGTTTTCCTTGTTAATAAATGTGTTTTTGTGTTTTCCTGTGCATTAAATGATTAAATAAATAAATAAATAAATAAATAATAAGTTTAGGTGCAAATATTTTTAAAGTTATGACAAGGAGGGCGGCATAGTAGTAATAAGTTACCGTTTACCAACAGAAAAAATTGCGAAGAAAACTGAAATGAACGATATGCGCCCATTTACAAAAAACACGACAGTACAAATCACAGCATAGTGAATTAAATCGACCTTGGCTTTGTGTATCAGATCATTTTATTCGATTAGAAATCGAAACGTCACGCGTCTTATCGTCTGTTTCACGGCTAGCCGTGCCGTAACAAATCTAATAAAGCTGAGCCCACTTCTGAGGTCTTCGTTTTGAGATTTATGTGTCAGGAACTTGTCAGATTCCGATCGTGATACTTAATTAAACCGCGTACAGACTGAAACGTCGTATTTACCACATATTTACCCATAATGTGATTTACTTATTTATTTATTTCATTTTACATTTTTAGGGAAACTAACAACTAGGTATTTATATAGTTACAGAACTAATGGCCAATTACAAGTTTCCACAGATAAGTTAACAGTTACATTTTACGTTAGAACTGTACACAAACACTGAGAAGAAGAAAAAATCGAAAAGAGAAATTCTAACTTGAATTACCTTTTATGGAAAAGAATGAAAAAATTGATTACAGAGTACCTAATCGCTTAAGTTGGTCCGACGAAGTATTAAAAAGTGAATATCGTGCTGCCTCACCACTCTGTTATAGCACTCACTTGCTCTAATGAAGTAGGAATTTCGTCTATAGTTTACTTTACACCCAAACGACACCACAAATTACACCCAAACGAGAGAAATAAAAGTAGGCCACACAAATATTTCTCCCGGCCCGAGAATCGAACACGTACCGGGTGGCAGTCCAGCATGGTAACCACGCCACGGCCACGGAGACAGTTGATTTATTTCCGCTGACTATAACAGATCGTCATCCCATTAACAAGCTACTAAGAGAAACTAAAAGTGTAAGTGTCGATAATTTCTAAACTTGAATTGAAATTATTTCAAGTTTAATTTCCTCCGATAATTCAAATGACACAGGTGTCGGGTGCGCTTCAGTACTGTTAGAAATTATATCGTCATGCGGAACTATGTGGCCATTCGGGTCTTGTTAATAAATCGTTCATGTTTATTCGACTGTAAATTACATGAATATTTATTTAATTGCCTAACGACTACTAAGTAATTTCCTTAAAACCCTGTCTTGCATAGTAATTAGACAAGTGCGACAGTAGTAATTTTACTAAACGTTTGAAAGTTGTTAATATTTATTTTCATGCAATAATCGAAACGCTCTTTTATAATGCATTCAATGTTTATTTTTTATGTTTATTATGATTACTTTAATAGTTCATTATGAAATAGTGTGTTGCAAAATACGTCTATTGGATGCAAATGCCACACCCATAACGGTGAACTTCATTTCAAATGGGTCGACCGCGGCGCGGGTCGTGAACTTATCATTCTATTTCGATTGTCCACTTTTATTAGCTTGAAGAGCGTTTGTGATCTAATCATCACCTCTTGTTGTTTGGTGTCTGATGATACTTGAGATAAAAGTATCATTGTCGTTTAGTTGTGCTAGATTTTTGCAAATTATTAATTTTTGTTTCAGCTACTCTATTGGGGTCAGAATGCTTCGTATCGGAGCAATGTACGTTAAAAGTAGCCTACAGTGCGTGTCTGGAAGGTGTCTGCCGTTGTACAGATGGACACCTACAGTTCAGGAAGCATACTTGCCTTTCTCGTAAGTGTTCATAATTTTTTTTTACGAAATATTTTCATCTAATTTGTTTACTGAATACTATTTCTTACTACCGTGACTTTCTACATCAAACAGCTAACGTATTAGCAATATCTACAAAGAAATCATTTTCGAAACGTTTTTATTTGTTTATGCTTTTTTCTAAAAAGTGGAAAGAAGAAAGTAGACAATGAAATCGTTTACGGAAATCATCATGACGCCTCAATGAGACAGATTGTGTGTCAGTGATCAATAATCGATTAGCACAGTTGCTTTATTTGTCTCTTAGTGTTAATGACGGTAACCGTTTATTGTATTTTTATCATTTTAGGTGCAAATAATATACATTAAGAGTGTAGGCCATTCTTTCAATTCAAATTTATAACAGCAAAAAAAATATTATAGGCTAAGATTCTTCTAAACCTTTTGATCTAAAAATCCAAATAAGGCCCACTGACTATTGGCCCACGTAGATTGATAATTGACCCAACGCTCCATAAGGCCTTGTTAGAAATACATAATGTATCGTATCCAAAGTGCAATAAGTAAGTAAAGATATGATACTTGAGATCCAGAATTACATCCTAAAAGTAATAATGTAGGATATAGGTAAAACTATACTCTCGGTTTCGTCCTATAGACGCGACGTCGCCATCGAGTCAAGGTAATTCGGTCACGGACGCACTTATTGTGCGGAAAGAAATAACCCGTCGTGTCATTCTATAATTTCTATAACAATAAGATGAAAGTCAAGATTACAATATCAGTGTCAAGCAAACCTTTTAAGGAGTCTTTCTCTACTTTATTCGGACATTGCAAATTTGCTTGCCAAATCCGACGTTTCGAACGGCAAGTGTTGCTGCGAAGACACTTTCTTGAATGACCATTTGCAGAAGTCATAAATGAAATGTCCTGTACGCAAGACGATAGGACTTCTACCGATACGTATAGATTTAGAAATACATCGTAATACTTATTCACTTGAATTTATAAAGTAAACATCAGATATCATTAGCCAAAATCACAATAGATATTACGATTTCTTGAATGAGTATTGTACACTTGTTTCGAGCCTGTAATATACACACAAGATTTCACCTAAAAGTTGTAGGTGATGACGAACTGTTTTTAATAAATATTAAAATTAAATAATCAGTACAGAGTACTAAAAAAATCAACCTCAAAACTACGTGGAATTACATATAATTACCAAGTTTCATTGAAATTTCATCCCCTAATTTCATAAATTCGGATTCGTCCCTTAATTCGTCACTATACGGGACTTGACACAGGAGATAGTAAAAATCGGTTTTCGCTACTCAAAGTATATTGAGAGAGAAAACGCCTCGAATTGGGGAATAGCAAAATCAACCATTAAAATAATTGCTCCTTATAATAAAATTTAGGCGCTGTTTATAAAAATGAATCTTCATGCGTGAACAGCCACCCTTAGAGGTGGATGATTTTCTTCAAAATTAAATAGAACCACTATGGAGGTACCCTCTTTCCGACGAAAAAAGAATCATGAAAAGCAGTTCACAAATACCGGAGTTATCGCGTAACATGCATACAAAAAAAACATGCAATCGAATTGAGAACCTCCTCCTTTTTTGAAGTCGGTTAAAAAAGATTTTAAAGATTCAAAATTTTCCTGTCCAATTGAACGAATGAACGTGTAAATGATAATGGTGCTTTAGTTGATAAAATTATCAATAGTACCCACCAACCAATCAACCAACCCACTATATAAGCCTCTCATTTATTGTCCCTATAACGTAAAGCAAACGAGCGTCATTTCCGAGAAATATCTTTGTGGCCGCGTGAGAAAAACAAGGTGATTGTAGTATCAAATCCACAGCAATGGCGGCGTCTCGTGTGATGTGAACCATTTTTATTGCAGCCCATCACGATATTTTACTGTGAGAAGTATGCCTATTTACTATAGGTAGACACAATTCAGAGCCAGTAGTGCGTAAAAAGTAACCATAGTGGGACATTCTTATAATTTTAAGTGTAAAATTGAAACTGTAACAATTTAGCCGAAGTTAAGAATTAACAGATCAAACGAACATCTTGAAGTGAAGTTCGATCACACTTATGTGAGTCGCATTTTAGTAAGGATTACATTTATGGATCACTTTTATTAAGGATTGTAGAATTTGTGGACTGTTTTAAGAAGTGACACACTTATTTTATAACTTTACATTACTCCACCGCCACGACATTTTTAACTTTCGCTTCATCGTCACGAAAATAATCCGGTTTAAACACTGAAAGAAATTAAATTCTAGCGATTAAAACGGCTTGTGTGTAAAAAAAAACTAATAGCTATAATAAATACAACTTTTATAAAAATATGATGTTGGTAATGGATCATCCTTTTTATTACGTTGACACCAATTAATAACCGAATTCGGAAAGAGGAGGTTCTGAATTCGACAGTATTTTTTTGGTTTTTTTTTTGTGTGTATGTTCCATGATTACTCCAACGTTTGTGAACCGATTACGATGGTTATTTTTTTATTGGTAAGGGGTTATCTCTGTAGTGGTTACATTCAAATTCGAAGAAAATATTCTACCCCTAAGAGTGGCAAATTGGAGAATGAATCAGGTTTATTAGGTGAACCGATTTCAATAAAACTTGTCAAAGAATATAATTTAACAAACTTTTGTGCTCGTTATTTTATAAAAAAGTGTTAACCTGTTAGTAAAAGTAATAGGCGTTTTTGTTTGCTTATGATCAAAACCAGTGGCTCCATAAACTATTATGGTAATTAAGCCAGTTTAAAAGAAAGTGTGGAGAATACCGACAGTAACTGGAAAGTATGCAAATCTGTAATTGTCTTGGCACGAGAGCCGATAGGACGCTACGGATTGAAGAGTTATTGTGGAAGGGAGCTTCATCAAGATTACATCGAAGATGCATCGAAGTTAGACAGACAGAAACGATCATTCAGTTTGTTTACGCCATGTCACGCAACGAACAAATCATGCGCCTGGTGGTGAGCGACATGCCTGTCCACGACGGTTGCATTGCCACTCAGACCTTTAAATCACAAAGATTTGAGGAGCACTGCCACCCCGCCCGTCACCCTGAGACATAAATTGACAAGTCCTATGTACCTGTAATTTCTCCAGCACCCTTAACCCTTTAAAACCGGAACACAGTAATGCTCATATTCCTGTTTGGCGGTAGAAATAGGTAAGATGGCAGTACTTCCCTGGCAGAGCTCTTACACAAGAAACTCTACTGCGTATTGTATTTATGCCTTGATAGTTGAAATGTTACGTCTAAGTCAGAAGTCCATGATAAGAATGAAATAACTTTAAATAGTAATTTATCCATAGTAATCCTTACGTTTGTTCTCTTATACATCGTCACTCCCATCAAAATTCTTGAAATCATAGTAGATCATCTTCATTTCCTCATTGTAAAACTTTAAAAGAAATTGAATTATATAGTTATATTCCCTTTCTTTTCCTCTTTATCGTCTCTTACTATAAATTTTGTGGACCGAGCCTTCAGCATTCTCATTTCGCAAAGACTAGGCTACACATTTGTACCTTTCGAAACCAACATAGGGTTCTGAAATGTTTAAAAAAATTTATTGCCCTATATTCACTAGAAGTCTTAAAAATTTACTTAAAATTGATGACACCATTTGCCTCAATGTTAGACACGGTTAAAAAAATGTTCCATTTTCCTAATTTAGATGGAAACAAAAAAGTGTAAACACGAATACTTATTATTCATGTGTTTGCATCATGCAATGTTGTAATCCATCGCAGATAGATAGTAGCTTTGTTAATGTATGTACTATATACGTAATAATAGAGGTGCGTTAGCGTGTTAACTTTTATGTTCCTGATAAACATTTACTGGCCAATCAAATTTCCATTTATCAGCGTTTAATCATATTGTCATATCGAATATATTTTGAATGAGAAATTTATTGTAAGTTGAAAACAACGTATTGATCAGTTTTATAAACCTTCTCCAACATACAGTATTTTTCACTATCTTTTCTTCACATTTATCCTTAAGGGAAGCTAGAATATTTTAAACTTATCTGAAAACACCCAAAGACCCACACCGACCTGGTAAATAAACTGTTAATCTCGGTAAAGAATGAATGATAGAAAGAAACTTTATTTATTTGACTATCACAAATGACACCACATAAAAAAAAAACAAAACATCAGAAAACGAATAAAATATATATAAACATAATCAAAACATTCAAACGTAAGAGTCATTACACAAAAATAAATAATAACAAATCAAAATCACAAACAAACAAAAATTTAATTAAATTAAAACACAGACTATTTACATAAACATAATGTAAGATACTAAGTATTATAAAATTATTTTCTATAATGCCAACTCCGGTAACAAAAGGATAACATTATAACATGACAACTATCGATATTTAAAAATTAAAACAGTGAGACATTTAGATCGATGTAGAAAAACATAAATACAACTGTACCTCGTCTATTAGAGCGTACGATATCATACCGCTTGGCCATAGGTCAGTGTCCAGGAAATTACAAGGTACCAACAATTTGAGTTTAGAAAGTACTTGACACTTAATAATCGTATAAGGGATCTTATAATCCGTCAATTTCACTACATTACTTACAACTGACCAATTAATATTGTTTATTTTTATTTAAGTTAGTACAGTCATTAAAGTGACTTAGTGCTTGTTCCTGGTACTCAAGATTTTTGCAAGCATTAAAAAAGTTGTTAATTTTATCCACAGCTGCACCCCCAGGCCACGTCTGCTATAGTAACGAACATTGCCGACTGTGGGATAAAGAAAGCCATTGCGAATTTGTCATACCCAATCTCTTCGGACGATGCGCATGCAGTTCATTATTCAAACAAGTTGGAGATAAATGCATACCTCAGAAAATAATACCGTCAATTGCACAGTCGGAAACACACGAAGGTACAATGATAGTTCAGTCAACGAGTGAACCACAAAAGCAATCGCAAATAAATTCTAATATTAATTCAGATTTTAACCCGCCTAATACAAATATCGACACAGATGACATTGAAGCTATTATACAACCAACATACACGAGTAACGATGCACTAAGTACAGAAGAAGATAGTCCTTTATCGCAAGTGTCTATGAAACTACCTACAGCTGAGCCAGCGAAGATATTGCCAATTACAAATAGAAGGGATGGTGAACCTAACGAGACGCTAAGAGACGATATGACAGCCAATTTACATGCAAACGACCAGCCTGTTTATAGAGTTGTTACCCAACCAACAGTGAATATTAAGAAAAAAGACGGAACGACCAAGGTAACACAGACTAAACCTCACAAACACGGCCACCCAAAGAAATCTACTTTAAAAGGTTTGTATCTCGATGATCTTGAACAATCTACCCAAGTAAGTTGTATGGATAATTCTTTAGCTGTCTTTCTTCAATGGCTCAACTTTGATTTCCAGACAAATATCGTATTCGTACGGAATCGACAAAAATCGATCTGGGACCATCGTCTTTAGGAATGCCCTGTCTGATAGATACACAGTGCCAACAGGTGGACCCACACACGCGGTGTGTCAACAAACGATGCGACTGTGCATACCGTAGTAATTCCACATCTGCCTGTTCTACGCGCAATCGAGGATGTCTACCTGGAACTTTTCAAGTAAGTACCGTAAAATAGTTTTCAATGTGCATAGGTATTATATGGTTAAAATGTCCTTAAAAATTGTTTTTATTTTCTATACTTATAACTGATGTATTGCATATAATATAATATCAGGCTTATAGTTATACCTCATGCACCCTTGATTTTTAAAACAGACATATGACAATAACTATGACCATATTAATGATACCCTCTCTAAAGTAGTTTATTGATTTAATGCTAACAATTTAAAATCGACTAGTCCAAGCATTGAAATAAACGGAGAAAAGTTAGACCTTGTTAATAAAGCAGTCTACTTGGGCACTCCCAAGATCCCAAGATCACTATCTTAGATAGTAAACTTCAATGGTTTCCACATATCTTCCCTGGCCAGCAGATTAAGCTCTGCTGCATACGCAGTCCGCAGAATACGTGAGCTTACCGATGTTAGTACTGCTAGACTAGTTTACTTTAGTTACGTCCTACGGGATTCTCATGTGGGGTAAAGCGGCAGATTTTCAAACCATATTTGTATAGCAAAAACGAGCGATTCGTTCTGTGTACTGTCTAGGCTCTCGGGTTTCTCAGAGAAAAATTTAAGGAGACTGGTATCATGACTGTGGCATCACTGTACATTTACTCAAATATTTTATATGCCCGTAAAAATATACATAATTTCAATAAGGAAGAAGATATCCCTAATATTAACCTTAGAGCTAAGTCCAAACTCGTGGTATTACGATTTCATTCAACCAAGGTAAACAACTCTTTTATGGGGAACTGTATTATACGTTTTTACAAGATTCCGGAGCATATATTAAGATTATCATTTCCTAAGTTTAAAACTACGTTAAATATATTTTCATTGAAAAGTCATATTACAAAATTGAAGACTACGTGTTATAGAAAGATGTATGGAAAGTCGACACGGCTCCAGAATCAACACAAATTTGATTCAAAGTGTATTCCATAGCATTTAAGTTTATTTGAAAAGAGCAATCACTAAAGTTTCTTGCTCGTTCTTCTTAGGGAAATCAGCGTAGTGAACGAGCAGTATCTTAATGTAATGTAATGTAAATGTGATGTTTTCAAGTGTAAATTTATTTTACCTATGGAATAAATTATCTTTATCTTTGACTTCATCAGACAATGTTGGTATTTAGAGAAAACAAATCTATTTCATCGTAATGCATTCATTCCTCAACGGTACTGGCATTAGGATTTATAGAAAGATAAGTTCATTCTATAAATCCTAAATGGCAGATCCGTTGCCGTACTAATTAATTAATTAATTGCCAGTATATAAATAGGGCTTCCATCCCGGGAATCTCGGTTTCGAAAATTTCGACATTCTCGACTATTTTTGGCTTTTTCGAGATTCGAGACTGATGTTTTCAGTCTCGCGACGTATTAACATATTATATTAAAAATGTACGCAGTATGTTTTTTATTCTGGTTACATAGACATGGCAACACTGCGTTTATTATAATCTGTGTAGACCTTAGAGGATGAAAAAAAATAAAGGAACCAATAGTATATGGTGTAGACTGAAGAACGATATAGGTGTACCAGAATCTCATGGTAATAAATATTTAAAAAATCGAACGACTTTCACCTGGCAATGGTAACTTGTCTCATATCATTCAAATTATTACTTGTATCAAATGGCTGTCTGCTAAACTTTTGTCGCTTCAAAATAACGATTTTGTAGCAATAATTACAGAGAATCCTTTTCAATCTCAAGCAAAAAACATTGTAATAATGTCTGTCGTAAAATCAGCGACGAATTAGGTGCATCTAAAATCTGTGCAATCACAATTCACGATTTAGAACGGGGTCTCAATCTTGCTGATTAGTAAGAGTAAAGAAACAGGATCTTTGAAATTTTAACGGATCCAAATCAATGTAGGTATGCGGTATGTAATTTTTGTTGGTACTAGTCGGCAAGACTACAGTGTGTAGACAATAATTGGTATAAAAAGGTAATATTAAAAATATATAAAAGGAAATAATAATAGCGTAAATGAGAGTTACTTCAAACTGCAAACGTAATTATATCTATCACCCACAACGTAATTGATATATTTTTTCTACATTTTAAAATGTGTCAGAAATTTCTTACCTTTCTCACACACAAATTCATACAGATCAAAATGCATGCATGTTCCTACGATATTGTTGTTGCTCACCACAAATTTATCTAAATGCCATCAGATTCTGATAAAGCTATAGTAACAAAATCAGATCCTGTCTGTGTCTGTTAAACCGTATGAAACGCCCCCTGTTTCTTATGTACCTACTCACTGTAAAAATGAAAAATATCTTTATCTGAGTTAATAAAGAATTTGATTAAGTTATCATGTTTTTACTGCCTTAATGCCTAGATAATTACTACTAAATCTATTTTTCAAACAGTCTCGAAACTCGTTTTTCTCGAAACGCGTCTCCGGAAAAAAAATATCGAGACTGCACTGAGTCTCGATATTTTTTTTTCCGGGAACGCGAAAATTCAGCGAGGCTGAAATAAGCACTCGTACAGTGTAAATTGTTAACACCATCACAATAACATCTGTACCCCACAATAATTTTAGTGTCGTTCCACCGGCACCTGCATCAGTTGGTACTTCGTCTGCAACGGTCGCAAGGACTGCCCCGACGGCTCTGACGAGACCTGTCAAGGTACTGGTAAAGGTAACTATCTGATGCACTTATTTGTATAAACGCACCCTATCTCTTCGCTTCCATTTCGATATTAAATGTACATTTACGAATTACAATCGAGTTAGTACCGCACCTTCTTTACTAATATAGATGAAGAATAAAAATTCTGCTACTAATATTACAATTAATATAATGTTAATTGAGACAGTTGTGTCTAATATTAATGAAAAATTATGTATTGCATAAATAATACATAAATAATAACAAATTTGTTTTTCTGAATAAATTCAGATATGCAAATATTTAGCACAAAAACAAATCTTATTTCCTAAAGTAACAAAATGCGAAGGAGACTCGAATCTGAACTAAATCAAGAGATGATGTGTCAGGCTTCCAGGTTTCTCAACTAGCTTTGACAAAGATGAATTGGTTAAAATTTAATATTATAAAAAATGCAACAAAGAAAACAAGTATGTAAAACAAAATATGTAGGCGTGTGTGTAACTGTGAGTGCTCTTATAAGTGTCAATGTGTAGGTGGGAATGTGTGTGAACGATGTTGTTTGATTCATGTTAAACATTTCTACATTTTCGTTTTTTTAATTCCTAATTTTAAGTTCGTAATCGTTAGTTTAATTGACTTTTCAGTTTATTTAACATATTTAAATGTCAAAATAATTTATTTTATACTTCAGAGTTATTTGCAATATTTAAATTTTTTATTCAATATACGTGGGACACACTATAAGTTTCCGGAATGAATAAGAAAAAAATACTACAAATGATCAGAAATGAATTTATAGGTTCGCATAATATTCTCCGTTAGCGTTAATGCACTTTTTCATACGAATGAATCAATTTTGAAAACATTTATGTCACTCCTCCGTGACAATCTCTGAAACATATTTTTCATACTCTTCGACAGCCTCTTCAGGTGATGAAAATCGTTGACCGCGTAACTGGTTCCTAATTTTTGGAAACAAATAAAAGTCACAAGGTGCCAGGTCGTGACTGTACGCGGCATGGCTCATAAAGTCAACGTTGTTCACCTTCGAAAATTCATTTGTCTGTCTGGCTGTGTAAGAACTGGCATTATCGTGGTGCAAGATGATACGGCTTTTACAAAGTTTGTCAATAACTTCCGCCAAACAAATGGTCGTGCACCAATCACTATTCTCGGTACAACGATTCTCCAAAGCAACAGTAGCCACGTGTCCAGTTTTATTAAACAAAAGAAACAATCATCCGCTTAGAGGCACTTTACACGCGCGCCACTTTGGTTGGTTTCGACTCATCTCGAACGACCCATACGCTCGATTGCTACTTTGTTTTGAGATCGTAACTACAAATTCATGTTTCGTCACCTGTTACTGTGTCCCACACTAAATTTGACGCCCCTTCGTTGAATCTGGTAAGCATGGCATTGCATCAAGTGACGCGATCCGTTTTTTGAGCATCAGTGAAATTGTGTGGGATCTACCGAGAGCACAGCTTTTTCACACCCAAATGTTTGTGTAGTATTGATTGTATTTGACTCGTGCCTATGCCTAAAGATGCCCAAATCTCATGGTGTGTCACATGCCTGTCTGTTTTGAACATACGGCGCACAGCATCGATGTTTTTATTGTTCACAACAGTGGACGGACGACCATCACAAAATTCGCCATTGAGATTCACACGAACACGTTTGAATTCTGCAAACCAGCAATAAATAGTCGTCTTGCATGGTGCTCCATCGCCAAAAGCAGTTTGAAGCCGAGCGAAGCTCTGCTGAGCTGTTAAATTACACTTAAAGTCGTAGAAAATCATGTTACGAAAATGTTCACAAGTTAAATCCTTGGTAATGTAGACAAACAATTTCTAAAATGACGCCACAATGTAAAAACCAGTGACAGTCAGATGAAACAGACTGTATACTACAGCCAAAGAATTCCATTTTCAAATGTTGTAGTAACTTTTTAAATATTGTTTATGTAAGTGGCCAGTTTCAGAAACTTATAGTGCGCCCTATGTATTATATCGAGTTTAAGAAATAATTAATTCTAGTATCTACTTTATTTTAAATTCTAATAATGTATTTTTTTCAGTAACACCTGTACATACGCACTAATATAAGATAAACGCTTTCACCGCCGTATATACTTGCTTATAGACACATTACGGGTGACGGTATGAGTTGTATACCTACTATTGCACAGATTTTATCCCGATCATCAGTTTATGTTTATGTTTTCTATGCCATTTCCAGATGGAACTGGCGAACGTTGTCCAATGCATGCATTCCGATGCGGTGGTCCTGGTTCACCTTGCGTCTCTCGAGGAGCAAGGTGTGATGGTGTACCACAGTGTCCCGGAGGCGAAGACGAACGGAATTGCAAAGCTACAAGACGTAAAGGGTAAGAGTTAGGCATATTTTTAAATTACTGAATTCATTAGGGCGGTTTTTTTTAACTTAGCCGTGCTGACAACGCGCCCACGAAACGTAGTCTCATATGTCTAAATTGTCTGGTCGCTGAGGTCCAAGATGCTGAATTTTTTTACGATAACATTAGCAAACTAATTTGTAAAGCAAATATAGCGTATGAAATATGTATATAGTGCATTGACCTACCAACAAAATAAAAGTCAATGATATAGTGTAAGTAATTAGCATGTAAGAATTTTGCTTGTAACTGTAACTTTACATTTTATTTTTATAAATAAATAAATAAAGCTGAACATTCATTTTTTACCAATCACTGTGAATATCGATCAAAAGGAATTTAATTCTCAAATTGTGGATGCTAAGGTAGATTCCTTTGTATATGGTGTCTTTTGAACGTTAATAGAAAACGGAAACGACGACCGATGCATTAAAAATGTTTGAAAGTTTAGAATTATTTTAGAATTTGCATAAACTTATAAGAAAATTAGCAGGTAATCTTAAGTAACATTCATGACGTCTTTAACTACAATGTACGGTTGTTACAACAACGTCATAGCTAACTAAATGATGTAATAAAACTTTTCGTCGCTTAATAATCAGTTTCAATTGCGAATTTCAGATGCCCTCGGCACACTTTCCGATGCGGTTCAGGCGAATGTTTACCCGAATACGAATTCTGCAACGCTATCGTTTCTTGCAAGGATGCTTCTGATGAGCCACCGCATCTTTGCAACGAGCAGTCCAGGTAAAAATTAATACTCATTAGATTGTCCGGAAATACAAAGGTGGAAAAATAAACATCTGTTTTCCATCACATTATTCCGCAATCCTTGTGTTTTGGTAACTTTCGAGATACCTACTTAAGTTTTTTCTTAGTAAAAGGAGTAAAAAATGTCGACTACGCTGATTAGGCCAATAAAAATGAAACTAAATAAGATATAAAAAAAACCTCTTATACGGGGCTGTAGATATCGTTTTACTGTTTCCAGATACGTTATTATTAACTCAATTTCCCTAAAAATTTCGATTATGCTAGTTATAAGAAGGGAAGTATTTGTGTTGATGAGTGGAATAATGTTATTTGGTATACTGTAACTGTAGAGTAGACACTCTCTGCTCACGTTAAATAGGTACTATAACAAATTAAATGTCAATATGTACTTTGAACAAGTCTGTATTTGAATACGAAAGTAGAGTTCGGTACCTGGTCTGGTAGCAAGACTTGCAGGACAAAAAGCGGATTCAAATATTTTGAAGAATGAAAAATGACAATATAGCGATCACATAATAAACACCCACGACTTTAGATATCTGATGATTACAAAGACTGTAGGCATAGAACACTTTTGTCAAGAAATATCCACTAAATATTCATAAGAAATTATAAAACAAATTCTTAGAATAAAAATGATATAAAAAGACATTTATTTCTCCACCGCGGGGGCAGCGGAGAGGTTATCTTCGACTTCTACCGGCTAAAACCCCACGGTGGCCTTTTCGGGTGCCTAGTGGGAGGGATCCGGGATCGACTTTGCTCACCGGAACCTCACAGCACCTAGAGGAGCTACGTCCTCCCCCCCCCCCCCCCCCC